GGCTGGCGGAGCCTTGGAGACGTCCGAAGGAGTGCTGGTGTGGACTCGGGCAGGTGGATGAGTTGGGGAATCCATCTGCCGAGCACTGTTGTTGTAAAAATTAAACAGCAACAGAGGCGGTGCTACTCTGAGTGTGTACCAGGGAGCGGGGTCCCCGACAGGGGTGCGGTGCAGGCGGTCGGGTGGAGGTTGGACGCCCTCCCCGGGGGTGTGGGCAGCGCCAGTCGGTGACAGTGGAACCCCCAACTCCTGACTTAACCGGGCTTCGGTGCCCGCAGACCTAAGGCGTCCCGAGTTACTTTTCAGCTCTAAGAACAGTGAATGAATTTAAGGAGAGCGTTTTGTAGGTGAGCTGTGGTGTGTGTGTGTGTGTGTGTGTGTGTGTGTGTGTGTGTGTGTGTGTGTGTAAGGTTTGAAAAGGTTTTTTCTCCCTGGGATGTTGGGTGTGTGTGTTTAATTAGAAATGGTTGTTTCACAAGTTCCATAATTTTTATTCTCTGTATTTTTAAACTCATAGCAATTAAGAGCTTTTTGTGTTCTCAGGGGATAGTGACTACTTTACAGTATTACAGCTCGTGAAAATGGCTGTGATTGCTTGAAAGATAATGTAGGTTAGTGGGGAGAGAAGTAGAGTGAGATTGGATTTTAAAATGCCATCTGGCTTGGGTTTCTTCACATTGCCGTAAGAGCCCAGGCTCAAGACTCTCTGTTGATGTTGGCATCCCGTGGCATTACAAGACGCAGGTGGTTTCTTTCATAGCTGAAGGTTGCTGGATTTTTTGTTTTATCTTTATTCACATCACATTAGAAATACAAAGAGCTTTTTATTTAGATATGCTTATTCTACACATGTCCCACTACGACAGAACCCCACCTGGCCCAATAATAAACGCATCCAATCTATTTCTCACAGAGATAAATAATCAGCTTTTTTACCACCCTACTTTAGCAGAAAACCCAAACAGGTAATCTGTCTTAACCTCCTGGCCCTTTTATCTCCTGGACACACCTTTCCTCGGTGAGAGACCCCACTCTATTTTAACTGATCAGGCCCATAACCCCAGGTGAATATCTCTAATGGGTTCCAGGCCATGTGGCAGAGCTGTGGTTTGTATTTCAAAGAGCAAAACAAATTTCAAAAATCCTTTCAAAATGGTACTCACTAAGTGAGAGTAGTCCAGGTCCCTCTCAAGAGGCTCCCCCCATATTTATCCATTTCTTTTGTTCACATAATAAAACTTTCCAAGTTTTGGCTTTACTGATATTAGAGTGAGCAGTAATCTTTCTCCTCTTCTGTCATTTGGAGGCCCAGAATTTGACTCCACCGGTTGGTCCACTGCCAAAGATCATGTAATGCAGTGGATAAGAACATTTGGCTGGATCTCAGCACCATCAGTAATTCTCTGATCTTGGGGTTGTATGTCTTGCCTCAGTTTTCTCACCTACAGAGTGGGTTTAAGGGTGGGTATACTAATAGCTACTTCACAGAGTTATGATAAATTTATTAATTCTCTTGAAATTTACGGGACAGGGCACCTAATTAATGCTGACTGCTATTATTCAGTAGACAGTGAGTCATGGCCTCCTTTAGTAGGTCGTCAGCCGTACTAAGTTAGTGACATTTCAGATTCCCAAGGTGAAGGCCAGTCAGCTTCATGTTTCAGGCTTCATCCAAGTCTGATCTATGACACTGCCTCTCAGCTTGGATCTGGGTGTATCTTTGCTGTCGGACATGATGGGGTCATCAGGGTCTTAGGAATTGGGGCGATGTTGGGCGGGATGCTTTGAAGAGCAGGGCAGTACAAGGCAATGCTCTGAAATCTCTCACAGCAGTAGCCTGCTGTCATGGTAGGTGTTGGTGCTTGTTGACTAAATGAACATAATGCTAATTAGGTAATTCAGGCACACTGATAGTAACTTCAAGATCCTTTTCAGATTGTTATTCTATATGTATTTTTTCACATGAAACCTGCTTTCCTAACTGAAAGCTACCGAGTTACTTTAAAACTATCCTCACTGATCTCTGCCTCCAGTCTCTTCACATGTCAGTCCATACTGTAGCTGGATTGGTGGTTTAAAACTCAAATCTGATCTTGGCCACCCACTGACTTAAAATGCTTGAGGGCCCTCATTGAGCTGGGCTCTGTGTGCCTTTCCAGCTTTAGTGTTTGACTCCACCCACAGCACCTCCCAGCACTTGGTCGATGCCAGGTTCTTTCATCCAAGCTCTTCATACTGTTTCTTTTCTGCATACATGTTTTTCCTCTATCTGGGACACATTCACTCATACTTTTCTTCCTGTTACCTGGCTACTCCTACTCTTCCTTCAGTTCTTGGCTTACCATCATTGTTAATATTATTAGCTAACATTTTTGGGTGCTTGCCATTTGCCACAAACTGCCAGATCTGTGATAATTATTTTATTAATGCCCACATCAAGTATTTGAATTCAACACTATCATCATTCCTATTTCAAAGTTGATTGAAACTGAAGCCGAAAGAGATTAAATAAGTTGGCCAAAGTTATAGAGTAGAACTACTGAAATCAGGATTTGAACTCAGGGTTGCTGGATTCCAAAGCTCTAATCCCACCCTCTGTGATAGTAGACATCACCTTTCCATCTTGGGTTGGTTCTTTATGACCACCTATAACCCTTCATACTTCCTTTTGTGATGCTTATTATACCATATGATAATTTCCTGTGTATCTTTCTGTGTCCCTCACTATTGTGTAAACTATTAGGGCATGTTTACATTGTTCAACATTTTGTTGGCACATAGTAAATATTTTGTTGAACAAATGTTTCTGTGACTTTCAGCCAACCTTAGTTCTCTCTCCTGAGGACACACTGTTTTGATAAGGGTATTGTACAAGTGTTTCCAATGGGTAGAATCCATCATTACTAGAAGTTCTATCGTTACTAGTAGTGGGTTGCATCTCTCTCCCTTTTCTTGTCTCTTATTACTTTGTTTGTTTTTATAACTATCTTGAGAGGTTCCTTCTTAATCAAAACATTATATTTAGTGACTCTTCGCCCTTGGAAACAAGAACTAAGGACCTAAATTTTAAAATGTGCTCTTGTGAAAGCCTGTTTGCCCCAGTGCAGGTCCCATATACAGGAAGCTCAAATGAAGGAAACTATGTATATAGAAAGGCTGTAAATTAATGATAATATATGTTGTCCAATAACCATATCCCTGGGACTCAGTACTATTACATTTAATGCTTTGAAGACAAATGAGCCCTGACAAGTCTATCATATTTCAGATGAACCCAGCTTACTTTTTAGGGTTAAAAAAAAATCAGTGTTTCAATTCCCAGGTCCTATAAACAAGTTATCTATAATATGCAGTAGGACAAGGATCAGGGTGTGAGTTTTGAGTTTAAAAAAATAATTAAAATTTTTGTATAGCTAACAAATGCCTAGAGCAGCAAATTTAAAAGATGTAAGGGGTATCCAGGGAAAGCTGGTTTCATCCCATCTCTGCTGTTACAGTTGACCACCCAGGTCCCTACCTAAAGGTAGCCACTGATACCATAGTCTTGAGCTTCTTCCAAAAGGTTTTTAGTACCCAGTAAATGATTAACTGACAAGACTTCCTGAAACAAAATTGTGAAATGTATTCTATGCCCTTTTGGCCCTCTCTAAGAATGATTTTTATCCTTTCTCAGGTACCAAACACTTTCTCACAAAATGATAAGAGCTTTAATTCTTTCCTTGATCATCTTCATTTTTAGAGGCCTCTTAAGGAAGAAGACAATGCTTAACACAAGGTAATACATCCTGAAAGAGATGTAGGTGTCAAGTGCAGGAATGGGGACATAATGGAAAGGAATGAACAATATATAATTGGGCAGATAGTCCCTGTTTACTCTGTTAGGACCTACATATTTTGGCCAGGTTTAAGAGTGAGC